ACTAGGACCCCAAAATGTGATTCCCTCCACATTAAGGTGAACTAAGAAAGACATGCCCTCCATGACAGCACCAGGAAAATTACTTATCTTAAAATATGAATAGGGGCAGGGGTGGGTTGGGGAGGAGGGAATCATTTCCCCTTGGAACTAATACCACAAATATACTCATCCACAGGCTTCCAGCCTGTATTCACATGGAGTAGTCTGAAAAACCTCAAGCTAAGAATTTACTTTAAAGTGACTTCTGGTTGGTAGTGTTCCCAGAAGTAAATGCAAATTCTCTATAGAGAAAATTCCCTTCATTCCAAGAAAAATGAATCCACAGTTGAAAATCATAAAACCCACAAAGAAAGAAAACATCACGTGCAAAAGCCAACAGAAAGAACACATAGCATAACAAGACCCACATTTATCAGCATTGCCGACTCAGAATATTATATTTAATATTATTTTTATTATATTTAATATTGTTCAGAAACACTCCTCCATGAGTCTCTCATTTCTTCCTGGCTTGCTTTGTATGCCAAAAGATCAAGGTCTGGCTGATCTTTACCAGACCATTTTTCAGGCCTGTGTTTGCAGCCTACTGTCAACTTTAAAGGATAAGGTAATACCTCCCCCCCAGGAGAAACCGCAGGCATATTCACTATCTACTATAAACTGGAAAGTTTCCCAAAGTCAGTGATCTTTTCCTAGAGAGGCGGTTACATAGGCCCTGCAGGAACTGCAACATAAGGAACCAAAACAAACATGCTGACATTCTGGCTACTGTTTCTTCTGTGCATAATAGTCTTTTGTCTCCGAGACAAGAGTCTCGTGTCTTTTTTCAGTATCTACACAACATTGGCAAGCTAACTTGCAAATACCATACAATTTCATAGCCTTTACAGTTCTTGACAAATAGTCTTTAAAAATAAAAATATGAATAGAAAGCAAGACACTAAAAAAAATTACTAGAAAATTTTAAAACAGAACAGAACTTCTAGAAGTAAAAAACAGAATAATTGAAATTTAAAATTCAGTGTTTGAGTTAAAGAGCAAATTAGATACAACTGAAAAAAGAATTAGTGCATTAAAAGAATTTAAAATTAATCAGAATACCACACAGAGAGAAAAAAAAGATAGCAACTCTAAGAGAGAGGATAAGGGCCATAAGCAAAGAATGAGAAAAACAAACATAAATCTTGGAGTTACAGAAGTAGAATGAAGCAAAAACAATTGTTTATTTGAAAAGAAAATTACAGAGATCTTTTCAGACTGATGAAAGATAACAATCCACATATTTGGGAAGCCCTATGAATTCCAAGAAGTTAAATAGAAAGAAATTCTCACCTCAACACAGAAGAATGAAACTACAAAATAGCAAAAATGTGGAGAAGGTTTAGATACCTATAAAAGACATTATATCCAAAGGAATAAAAATTAGACTTTTAGCTAGTTTGCAACAGAAACAATGGAAGGCAGAGGACAATGGATTATTTGTAATGTACTTAAAGAAAGTAACCTAGAATTCTATACCCACCTAAACTATCATTCTAAGAGCAGACTCCAAATAAAAGAATCTTCAGACAAAAAGAAAAAAGAAAAGAAAGACTTTTGCTATAGTTAGATTCTCAGAAAAGTAAACTCTAAAAAAAAAAAGAGAGAGGAAAAAGAAAAATTATCTAAGATGGAGTTGAGATATATCAAGAATTGATGAGTAAAAGAATGAGATTCTATTTTATAACAACTAGATTGAAAAAATTAAGAAATCTGACAATTGTAGAAGTTGGCAAGGATGTAGAATAAGATAAATGTTATACACTGCTGGTGGGAGTGTAAATTGGTACTTATTTGAAAGCAGTATGGCAATAACTTGCAAAACAGAACTTGCACATACCCAACTACAAAATTCACCTAATAGGTAATAACCTAGAAAGATTCTTAGGGCACTCTTATACCATGGAACAGACATGTATAAGGATCTTCATAGCAAATTGTTCATAATGCCAAAAAACTAAATAATTAAAATGTCCATGAATGTAACTGTGAATAAATAAACCATTGTATAACCACATAATAGAATATTATTCAACAGTGAAAACTAATGAATTACTACTAAAAATCTTAGAAACATGTGAGTGACAGAAGCGAGTCACCAAAGAAGTCAGATCTATATCATATATATAACACTATATAACTAGCTTACATAACTAAACAATATTATTTGGAGATACATACATATTCAATAAAAACATTTAAACAGCTAAAGAACAATCAAACATAGATTTCAAGAAAACAGTTATCTTTGCAGGGAAAGGAATCAAGTGGACAGGATTGGAAGAATCCACATACGAGTTAGTTGTGACCTCACAAGTGTTTGTTTTAATATCATACTCTATAACTTACATGTATATTATTTTGTAGATATCAAATATTACAATGTAAATAAATTAACATTTAGCAAAAAAAGAAAGGAAAAGAAAAAAACTCCCTTAATATTAGTTATGAAAATCTTATAGCAAAGTGGTATGGGATAAAATACTGGAAGAGTGGAAGAGTCAAAGTGAAATATTGAAACATGCCCTTTAAAGCTGATAATTAGACAAGATATTCACTAAATATCATAAAGATGTTGATACTCCTAAATTAATCAACAAACATTTCAATCCCAATTGGGTTCCCAGCAGACTTTGCTTTTTCTTTATATTCTCAGAATTTGACAAGCTCATCCTAAATTCATATTGAAAATATAAGTTCCAAAAACAGCCAACACAATTTTGAAGAGCAATAATTCAGTGGAGGGACATGTCCTATTAGATATCCATGTTTCCTTTAAAGCTAAAAGGCTGAGGCAGTATCACATCAGCAGAGAGAGAATGTAAAGAAACAGGATACATGAGAACACTGCAAACTAAAGAAGAAATTATGGATGTTCAAAAATGGTACTAGGATAATTAATTATCCGTATGGAAAAATTCATATTAGAACAAGAAGATCCCATTTCAAAACAATCAGATCAGCCAATATTTAAAGGTCTGATAATATCAGTAACTGGTGAGAATATGGAGCAAGGGTAATTCTCATATGCTGCTAGTGGGGATATAAACTCATGTCCTCGTCTTAGAAATCAATCTGATAATAACTAATAAAACTGAATATTTTCATACTTTATAATCCAGCAGGCCACTTGCAAATATCTATGCTAAATAAATGTATTCTACAACTTTGTATTAAAAAAAAATCCTAAAGATTAATAAGAGAATAAACAAATTTGATTCAATCAATAGAAAATAAAAAGCAGTAAAATGTGAATAAGTTAGAAATACATACATCAAGCACAGAAAACAGGTAAGACAGGCACCAAATATTAAGTTTTAAAAAAAAAAGCAAGCTATAAAAGTAGATACATAATATAAATCTTACACAAAACTTAAAAGATATAAATCAATACTACATATTGGATATGTGGATAACAGGTATATATTATATATATTGAAATATGCATAAGAATGATGAAAGCTTAATTCAGGAGAGGGATTACCTTGGGGAAAGGGGGAGAAGGATAAAATTGGGGGGCAGAGCCAGCCTTAGGGTGAGGCAAGCAAGGCACGTCAAAATATAAGGACGCATCAATTTTCAAGTTTGCGCAAGTGCAGGACACAAACCTAAGAGTGAGTGCTTCCTTAAGTTTTGTGCCCTCAGCACCTCATTTATCTGACCATTGTCTTGGTCTTATTGGGTGGGATATGTAGAGACTTCAACTGCTCTCTGGGGAGTTTTATTCCTTAAAAAAAAAAAAACACACAAAACTTTTGGGCAGCTATCCCTACAGACAGGGTTTACATTTGCTTGGGCAGTATTCACATGCTTAAGACTGTAGTTGTTCTGTTACTTTCTTAAATTAGAACTGCCACAACATATGGATATTAGAGATGTGGATTCCAAACACACAAGTGCCGTGAGGACTTGCTATAATGATTTCTCATGGAAGTTTCTTTTCCCTTTTACATAATAACCAGGAAAAAGACATGTGACTAAGCTTGGCAGTTGTAAGAATAAAGAGGCGGTGGGGAAAAGACTGGAATTTATACCAGGAATAGTACCCTGAGCAGCTCTTGCTGACTTGGCTCCTATCTTTTTTCTAAGCCTAGTTTCCTCCCTTCCTTCCTTCCTTCCTTCTTTTTTTCTTTTTCTTTCTTTCTTTCTTTCTTTCTTTCTCCCTTTCTTTCTTTCTTTTTTCTCTTTCTTTCTTTCTTTCTTTCTTTCTTTCTTTCTTTCTTTCATGTTTTCTTTCCTTATTTTATTTTAATTGATTTTATTAAAGTTTATTTATTTATGTTGAGAGAGAGACAGCACATGTCAGCAGGGGGAGGGGTAGAGAGAGGAGGAAAGAGAGAGAATCCCAAGCAGGCTCAACACTGTAAACACAGAACCTGACATGGGGCTTGATCTCACGAATTGTGAGATCATAACCTGAGCTGAAATCAAGAGTTGGATGCTCAACTGACTGAACCATACAGGCACAGCTCCAAGTCTAGTTTACATCAACCTCTCATCAATTCTTTGAGCCTCCCAATACCTTCCAATAATTTCTCATTTTCCTTTGTCAGAGTTAATCTCTGTTGCCTGCAACCAGAGAGCCTTGACTGATACACTTAGCCTCATGCTGCCAAACAATGAATTGATATGATTCCACACATTATGATTGATCCTTAGGAATTAGCTTTCTCACTATGATTTGATTTCCCATTTATGATTGGTGGGATTCTACAAGGAAAATATCTACTTGGGTACTTGAAGCCCTACCTGTCAGGGCCATGTTTTGGCTAAATCACTGTGGAGTTATTAATGTCCAAGAGACACACTCCTGACCTACTGTTCACTGGGCATCAGTGTGCCAATTGCCCCTGAATAAAACTTTGCCAAACTGACCTGTGGTGTTGACTACATGAAGAATTAGAGTCTCAAGTCTAAGAAAATCCACATTGTACCAATTGAGTCATTTAGAGTTGCCTTACCTCCTCTGTCTTTAGAACTTCCCATATCCGCGCATGGTCCTCCACCAGCCAGTGTCCTGCACTCTCTCCCTTGGTGGAAAGTTTGAATTTAGACACCACTTGAGTAGGCTCTCCCACTGGTTTCTCCTCCATCTTGAAAGAGCCAGGCAGGAGGCATTACGGACCTGTGTGGAAGAATAAAGTGTGATCCAGGTTAAAGCATTAATTACCATAAAAGAAAGATACAAAGGCAAATTATCCTGCTTGATTTGTGGATAGCGAGACCACAGAAGACAGTGTCACAATAGGCATCAACTTTTACGGCCACTTTTCATATTTTAAATATTCATTATTGCTATTTTAAAGCAGGCTTCTTGGGGGAGGGATGCTTTTTGAGAAAGGATGAAGTGATAGAAATTTTAGAGAAAAGTACAAAGCGTCATCTGCCCAGTAAACCTATTTGTCACTTTGCTCTGGGCCCCTCAGGATGGGGGATGGAAATGGGCAGGTGTAAGACAAGCCTGAGTGGAGTCTTTGTGTTTCCATGTCATGTATTGCACGTGGAAGAGACTCTGGTGTCAGAACTTTTCCTCTTCAAACATCTACTGAGTACTTGTTGATACGAGGCTCCGTGCTAGGCATACACAAATAATTTGGTAGTTTTGCTCTGAACCTTAAGAAGCTTAATGTTTCAGGGCAGAAGAAGCTATAAACAAGTAATCACAATATGGTGTCTTACATCATAGTGTGATAAATGCCATAATCATCATCTTTTCCAACTGCAGTGGAAGCACGGAGAAATATTCTCCTCAATATTTATTGACTACATCACCTTCCTGAGCCTCAGTTTCATCAGCAGTTGCTGTAAAGACAATATTTTAAAATTGACACCAATTTTATAAAGACTAACTTCCTTGACATCTTTCCACCCACCACTGGCTTGTTTGGAATCACATCATGCCTGCTCCGTGCCATCCTGTCCTAAGGAATCGCCTTGCCTCCATTCAAGTCCCACTGAATCTATCCTTCTCAGGATCCTTTTTTTTTTAAGTGTATCTGATAAGGATGTTCCACCCACCTAAAACTTTTCCTAGAGAATAAAATCCCAACTCCTTACAATGGCAACGACAGACCTTTATGTCTGGCTTCCCCACTTCCCTTCTTCCACCACACTCAGCTGCATCCTCAGCCACTGTTCCAGCCATTTGAAGATATGTATGGATCTCAAATATATCTAGTACTTTTAGCCTTTGTTTGTGACATCTCCTCCCACCCCTGCTCCAAGAGAATAAAGACCTTTCCTCCTTGGTGAGTCTCCGTATATACTTTGGACAGATTTCTATTGTGCCTCCTGTTACACTTTATTATATTTCTTTGCTTTCAACTCTATTTCTACCTTTTGGCCTTTTAAGCATCTTGACACTAGAGATGGTGTCACATATAAATACTAGACAGATGTTTGATGAATTCGCTAATTCAGTAAATCATGAGAATCCAGAGAAAATGAGGCAACAGATCCAATATATTCAAATAACAGATGTGAAAGTCAAATGACCTCTTTTCTTTCACTTTTTTATGGATTTAGTGGGATGTATGCTCTTCATAAGGAAGAGCCAAGTCTAACGTTCATCATGCATCCCCGAGCAGCTGACAGTGCAAGCTGAAATTGCTCATTAGTTAACGACAGACTAGTTTTCATGGAAATGTCTTCAAGGAATTAAGCATGTCTGCAAAAAGCAGGTCTTATGCTCCCATAACCTACTGTCCAAATAAAAGTAAACAGAAATTGGCCTTGATAAGACGAGTAGGGTTGATTGACCAAGGATTTGAGAAAAGCATCTTCTGCAGTAGACTACTTCTCAGCCTCACATGCTCCACCTGGAAGCCATGGAAAGCAAGCCATCTGCTTGCAGAGAGCAGTGATGAGGAAACTGCTAACCAAAACCATCGTGCAATACGTGGAAACATGGAGCACTGAATAGAAACCTACTAGGAACCAGGAAACAAAAGCTTTGTAATTAATGAACAAAGTTCATCTGAGAGGATATGCTAATAAATGATGCTGACACATACATGCAAGGAAATAAACAAAGGAAAGTCATGTGGAGGTTTCAGTCCAAAAAAAGGAAATTAAAATAAACAAGCAAAATGGAAACAGGCCAGATAAGTAGGGAAGGAAATTCCATCATTGTTATTGGAGATAATACTGTAAACAACAAATAATAAATCAAAACAAAGTGGAAAAGCTACATAAAATGGCTTTGGCTGTATCCTTTGCATATCATGGAAACCTAAATGGACAAAACAGGCAAACTACAAAATCTCAGGGTGAACAATGGAACATCTGTAAGCGTAATGTATCCCAGTGACCCCATGGCTTTCACTCCACTGCTGCCCACAGCTGCTTTCTCATCGTTAGAGTGTGGGTGAGAGTTGGCAAATTTTCAGTGTCAGAGACTGAACTCTACTGTGTACTGACTTCCCACAGATTGTTTCTTGTCCTGTTTGGGAAGAAGATGCAATTCTGGGTTTTAAACCATTACAAAGCACTGGGTAACTAAGGATGGAAGCAGAGAGGCAGCCAGCTCCTAGGAGGCTCTTCAAGCATTTTGAGATCCTTCACCCCATCTGAGACTTGAGGTCTTTTCACCCATCCTCAGTATATCTCCTCACTCATAAAAAAAAAAAAAAAAAAAAAAAAAAAAAAAAAAAAAACAAAAAGACCATATATGCAACATATATTGAGCTCCCGTTGCACACCAGCCACTGTGCTAGGACTTTTTGCATTATCTCTACTCCATATAATAACCCTGTAAGATAGACTTCACCATTTTACGGCAATGAAAAATTAGATACAATGCATCTAATATACTGGTAGAAAGTCATAGAATTCCTAAGTTTGTGCTTTCTCTCCTAGGCCACTTCAGCAGAACTTCAACCCTCACCCTCCACCCAACCATAACTGGTAGAATGAGACCTCCCTCTCCTGCCCTTTCCCCCACGGAATAGAGTTAAAGTGTCAGTGTCTTAGCTAACTGGTCCAATGGTAGCCACTTAAGAGATGGTCACATCTGATGAGTACCCAGGTAAAAGTGGAAAAGATACAGAGAGGGAAACATCCTGGAAAAAAACAGAGCATTCCTTTTTCTTCTTACTCCCATCCCAACTTCTTTTTTTATGAACTAATCTCTAAATCCAACATGGGGCTCCAATTCACAACCCTGAGATTAAGAGTCACAAGCTCTACCAACTGAGCCACTGGGCATCCCACCCCCATCTCAACTTCTGACCAGGGCAGGCTTTATAGGTGTGACCATGCTCAGAAGAGCCCTAGGTTTGATTGAATGCTTTGTCATTGCCTTGAACTTCTTAATTTTTGGACAAAGAGCCCTACATTTTCATTTTGCACTAGGCCCCCAAATTATATAGACAATCATGCTGCTGATCCACGTTTTTCCTCTTCAAATCTAAAGTTCCACTCCATACCTTCTTTAAACAATTCATACATTTATAGGTTTCCAATTTCCCTAAAATGAGCTGGAAGTCTGTAGAGTGGGGCCGTTTTTCATTAGAATTAAAACAAGAGGCATATGTAAACCCTCTACCTCTGACACGCTGCATATCTTAGAGTTGAACTCCTGCCTTCCTTTTAAAAACACATGGTCAAAGCTTACAAGCCACCTTCCACGCAAATACCGCTAATATAAGCCATTCAATGATTAAGATGAAATCACTATAAACCTAAAGGCAGAATCTTCAATTCCACTTAATAGTTGGTCGAAAATATCATAAGCCTATGAGCTTTTTTGGAACTCAGTTTTGAAAAACCGTCATCCTAAAATACTTGATACCCAAAACAAACAAAAAAATCTTTAAACCCCTGGATGATGACATCACTCTAAGTTTGAGATAGAGTGCAGAAAAGCAGCTGTATGTATATAAAAGCAAATATCTGGTCAGAGAGCAGAAAGAAGCAAAATCGAGCTGAAATTTTTAAAAAGAAAATTGCTGGAGAAATGTCTTTTCTAATTGTAAAAGGGTCATGACGGTAAACTGTCTCTACTTCATGAAACAGGAAAGTGAAATAAGAACAGGGAAGACAAGTCTGGTGCAATGGAAGACGGATGCTTTCACTTGACACTGAGAAACAATTTGCAGATGAGAAAAGCTATGTGAGGTTTCCAGAGGTCACTTTGCTTCAAATCCTAGAGCCCTAATTTTCCCACCAAAGCCAAAACATGTTGTGTTGTGTTTTGTTTTGTTTCGTTTTGTTTCCAGTTTGGTTAAATTCAAAGATCATTCTAACCAATACTTACAAATCGTAGTTGTCTTATAAGAAATTGACAGCAGTTACAAGTTGGTGAAAACAACTTGTCATTATAATTATATAAATAATCAAAAAATAACCACATGATTATTATCAATGAGAAAGTAGGCATTTCCTTACATTAACTTCTTTACATTTTGTGCTTTTGAGGTCTGTATTTTTCCTTTAAAATATTTACTATACTATGCTTATGGTAAAATATATATATCATATGTAATACCACTTCTCCCATTCCTTCAAAAGTAATCACTGACTGGAGGTCATAACATTTTCTATGGTCATAACAAGGGACCCAGTTGATGGCTCCATATCCTAAACAGTCATTAAGTGCCAAAAGCAAATAAGCAGCCCCTCAGCGGCTAATCTTAAAAACATAAATACTAAATGATAATCTAAAAACATAAAAATTTGCCATTACTAGTGTCTGTTCTTGCCATTTGATAAAAATTATCCGTATTTCTCATGGATACAAACTTTCTGAAGCATGGCTTTAAAAATAAGGGCTAGGGCACAATTTCACTGAAAGCTGTATTTATTTTACTAATCCCCTTGCCAGACTTTGTTTGATAAGTCAATCTCTACTTTATTGAATTTGACTTTCCCTCCTATCTCAGTAAATAATATATGAGACATCCCTCTAAACCATTATCTTTTTCCTTCCCTCTCTTCCTTACATATTTTTGGAAGGGAATATTCAGAACCTATTTAATATTCAGAACCTTACTGGAATGGTTTCGTGTCTCTAGCCTTTATCTATTAGGGCCCTGCTTCTCTTCTGCCCCTACAGATTCCCTCATAGGCATTAATAATACAGTATCTCTACTTT